CTCAGTGCGGGATTGTCTCTCTCCTTCACACTCTGCCCTTTCCTCGGTTCTCTCTCTCTTTCTCGAAAGAAAGAAACTTAAAACAAATCGCAGCTCCCTTGAACACTCAGTTACAAGGTATGCTGGAGGGCTTACATGCCATCCTCTATCTAGTCTTTTCAGGACTCCAGATTATCCCAAATTGTAAAGGGACTCCAAGTATCCCCCAGAGTTTGTATTTAGGAGTATACATTTTAGTCCTCATGAAAAAGCAATTTAATTCAAGCTTTTTCTCTGAGGGAAGAAAGCGTTTTAGCTTGTTTTTCAAAGAAAAAAATAGAAGAGACACCCTAGACAGGAGGATAAAAGCAATAAAGACATTCGGCATCCGCAGGAAGGAAGAATATCAAGACCAAACATGGTAAGAGCATACATACAGTCCAGGTACCTAGGGCAAGGGACTAGATTAGTCTGAAGACATTAACTAAGGGATTAGAATACCTGTGTGACTCAAATTTCAGGGTCATGGAGATTAATTTTAAGGAGGAGGGCCTATAATCTTCTATTTCTGAATCTTAGACTGTCTGACTTTCCTACTAACTATGGAGTTAATGTGGAAAATGCATCATTAATTGAATTGATACCAGCAGTTACAGTTTTCATCTCTCTGAGTGCCTTGTTGAGTTGGGGTGATTCTCTTAATGGAGGGTTTTTGTCAGAGGAGCCCATGATAACCCCTCCTCCACATTCCTCAAATAATACCTTGTGTACCTCTCTCTGTGTGCTGAGAGTAGAGGCTTACATGTCCTACTTAACGTTTGTACCCAACAAAACATCTGGTACACTGGTTTTGCACATAGTAGGGACTCGGGTTGTATCTGTAAAATTGAAAGGGGAAAGGAGAACAAGGTTGAGAAATAAAACCATGCTTCCACAAAGACTACAATGAATTCGTCTCTTTCTAAATTACTTGAGTAGGTCAGATAAATGCAACATTAAAGCTCTGTTTAGGAACACCTGCTTTCTATTTGTCCTTTAACCCTTAGCTCAGAAAGCTCTTTTTACTACGGATCTCATTTCTATTTCTATTTAGGATAGTTTGATAATCAAGCTATGATTATATATGCCTGACATCAGTGCTTCTATGACAGATGTGTGATTCATTCCAATCATCATAACTCCGTATGCAGATGTTCCTACACTATTCCATTTTCTTAATTACATAGTCTCCAAGGGCTACACCTGTGAGGGGAAGCGATCCACAAATCTACAGAGCTTAAAGAGAACTACCTTTCCCCGAGGTCTTCTCCCCAAATGCTAGGAAATGTAAGTGATTATTTTAACAAGCAGAATTTCTTCCCCCTCAAGTCATGACCTGGTTATATCAGATAAATTCAAAGCTTCTGGGCAAGCACCTTAAGGCCGTATCTTTTTTCCTCTCACAAGTTTTTGGCTGCTTGCCTTCAAACTGCAAGCTGGCAGACTCCATCCTTTAAAAGCTTAATTACCTGAAAACCCACTGGGCACCTAGAAAACCTGTAGTTCTCAGCCCTAGAGTTTGAGGATGCATGGAATAGAAATCTAATGCACTTGACCTTCTCACTCCCCGCTCATAGTCCACGCTCTTATTGCACATACTCAAATCCTCACTGAGGCCAGAAGAGCCAAGGGCTTTTGCTGACAGATGTTTCTAGAAAAGCTCCTATTCATCTGAAAGGTATCGGGCCCACTAGACCAGAGCTCCTCAAAAATGTCATCCCCATACCTTACACTAGCAGCCTCAGCAGCACCTGGGAATTTCTTAGAAATGAAATTCTCGGGTTCTAGTCTAGACCTCCTTAATCAGAAACTCTCGGGGTGGAAATCTAGGGTGCTGTGTTTTGACAGGCCCTTCAGGTGATTCTCATACTGGCTACAGGTTGAGAACCATTGTACTGGGTAATTGAACCAATGGCATTTGGCCGTAAGCCATGGAGTTACTATTTCTAGCGCGGTGCAGCGCTCACTGACCTCAGGCTCAGGAGCCGCAGGAGTTGGTGAGCGCGTTTCAAACAAGGGCTTTCAACTTTGGAGGTGCTTGGCTAGCCGGGTGGGCGCATTTGGAAATAGGGGATGTTCTCACCGGCAGCCCAAGGACCTAAGGAAATTCAGAGGACTCAAAATATGAGTTGGTGAAATCGGGGGCTGGCAAAGGAGGGACAGAGCGTCGCAGAGTTACCCTATCCTTTTCGATTTGACCATCTCCACTACTATTTTCTTCTGTTCATTCCGTCCCATAGATTTTGCTTTTTTTTTATCATTTTTTTTTTAATTTTGCTTTTTAGTGTTCCTCTTATCAAGGGTGATTCACAACAAGGGTTTATCAAGTCCTACCATGTGTGAGGTGCACATCAAAAATACGTATCTTGGGGCACCTGGGTGGCTTAGTTGGTTAATCGTCTGACTCTTGATTTCGCCTCAAGTAACGATGTCAGGGTCCTGGGATGGAGCTCTGAGTTTCAGTGGGGGGTGGGGTGGGGCGCGACCCCTGCTCAGCAGGGAGCTGCTTCTCTCTCCCTCTGGTCCACCATACTCCACTTGTTCTCTCTCTCTTTCTTTCTTTCCCTCTCCAGTGTCTTTAAATCGTTAAAAAGAAGTAGGCATAACACTAGCATAATTTTAAGGTGCTCAAACAAAAAGTTACCTTTTCTGTGCAAACATATTTCAGGGAAAGGTCCTTTGGAATGCAGTTCCCTAAACTAGATAAATGTCTTCACTTGGCACACTTTCTCTACTGCAAACACATCACACAGCACTGGCATGTTTTGTTCCTGTAATGCAGCGTGTTTACCTGGAAAACCGCAGGCATTTTAGCTTTCTTTTAATCCAAGCATTTAAGCTGGTTAAGGGAACATGTTCTCTAAAGATTTCCAGAGGGTCCATTTCAAATGCATATCATGTTGTATGTTTTATTTTAACAAATCTAAGTTTTCATTCGACTAAGTTTACATAAAATAGGATTCAACTGAGCTAACCTTTTAGTAGGAAAGAGGGAGGGAAGATGGACACATATTTTGGGTTTATAGAAACTTTTTCTGGGAGGCTAGCATTTGGAAAAACAGACCATAATCCTGTATGTGAACACAAGTAAAACTGAAGTTCAAGTTAATCTAGCTTTAGATTAGGAAGAACGAAACTTGGCTTCTGATCTTTTAAGAATTTCTCTTTCTGGGGCACCTGGGTGGCTCAGTCGTTGGGTGTCTGCCCTCAGCTCAGGTCATGATTCTGCGGTCCTGCGATCGAGACTCACATCGGGCTCCTTGCTCAGCGGGAAGCCTGCTTCTCCCTCTCCATTACCCCTGCTTGTGTTCCCTCTTTCCCTGTGTCTCTCTCTGTCAAATGGATAAATAAAATCTTTAAAAAAAATTTGTCTCCTATATATATGTATGTATATGTGTGTGTATATATATACACACGCAGAGAGAATATGTATATACATATGTGTGTATATGTGTGTATAATTTGGCCTAAAAATACCTACTTTCTTCTGAGATTTTCTTAACTGATACTTTAGACATATGATTTAATGCCAACTTCAATGGGTTATTAGGATAATCTAAAAACACAAACTATTTCACCACTATGGAAATACTGAGTTAATACAAACAATTACTAGAACAGGAGGAAACCTGCTGATTCATGGATTCTGTCTCTCAGGTTGAACTAGTTTAAAAGAGAGGCCATAGGATTGCCCCCTGCTGAAAGGGTGGTATGGAATTGGGACTCTTTTATTAGAAGCATGTACTCAGCAAAAGTGTCTTAAGTTTTTTTCATCAATGTGTAACCTTATATTAGCTTAAGGTGTACAACATAATGATTCAATATTTGCATGTATTATGAAATGATCATCACAACAAATCATGTTGACATCCCTTACCCTCCATAGTTCCTTTCTTTCTTGTGATGAGAATTTTTGAGATCTATTCTCTTAGTAATTTATAAATACACAACATAGTACTCTTAGCTATATTTATCCTGCTATACACTATATCCTCATGTTTTATTTTAAAACTGGAAGTTTGTAGTCTTTGTCCACTTTTGCCCATTTCTTTCACATCTCTACCCCCTGCATCTGGCAACCACCAATCTGTTCTCTGAGTTTTGTTTGTTTGTTTGTTTTAAGATTTTCCATATGAGATCCTAAGGGATTTTATTTTTTCTGTCTGACCTACTGCATTTAACAAAATGTCCTCAAGATCTACCCATGTTGTTGCAAACGGTATTATCTTCTTTTTTGTGGCTGAATAATATTCCATAATATATGTGTGCATACATGTGAGTTTGTGTGCACACACATGTGTGTAAACATTGTTTATCCATCAGTGGACATGGAGGTTGTTTCCATAACTTGGCTATTGTAATAATAATGCAGTGAACATGGGTGTACATATCCTTTCCAATTAGTGTTTTCTTGTTTTCTTTTTTAGATAAATACCCAGAAAGGGGAATTGCAGGATCATAGGTTAGTTCTAATTTTAATTTTTTGAGGAAACTCCATATTGTTTTCCTTAACGGCTACACCAGTATACATTCCTGTAACAATGTACTAGATTTTTCTGTTCTTCACCTCCTCACCAACATTTCTTGTCCCGTTGACAGCCTTTCTAACGAAGGAGAGGTGGTATCTGGTGGTTATGTTTTGCATTTCCCTGATAATTAGTGATCTGTAGCTCGTTCTTAGAAAAATATCTGTTCAGATCCTCTGCCCATTTTTTAACCAGCCTGTTTTTAGGCCTGTTGAGCTGCATGAGTTCTTTATAGATTTTGAATATTAGCCCCTTCTCAGATAGAACCATTTGGTAGGTTGCCTTTTGATTGTGTCAGTTTCCTTTGATATGAAGGAGCTTTTCAGTTTGACTTAGTCCCGTGTGTTTTGTTTTGCTTCTGTGGGTTTTGCTTGTGGTGCGAAATCCAAAAAATCATCGTTAAGATCAATGTCAAGGAGTTACCACCTATGATTTGAGAGTTTCATAGTTTCAGGGCTTATGCCTGATGGCTTCATGAATTTATGTGTCATCCTTGTGCGGGGGCCACGCTACTCTTCTTTGTATCCTTCCAGTTTTAGTACATGTGCTGCCCATGTGAGCACAGCAAAGTTTGTTTTAACATCTCTGTGTATATTGGAGACAGTGGGGATTAAAGTTAATCTGAGCTACAAACGAATGCATTGGACATCCTACAAAACAAGAAATATTCTACCCTGTTGGAATAAACTTCTGTCAACTGGTAAAATCGCCTAATCCTGGAAGTGCTGAGTTAGGGTCACAGCAAAAGTGATGCACTTCTTGTACTTTTTTCAAATGTCCACTTGCCCCTGAAGACAGATTCACATTGACTTCCTCCTCTGCTAGTCCAACTTAAAGAACATTAAGCTGTGATCTTAATGCTCTCTCACCTCAAGGCTGGAGTGGAGAATTTTTTTTCTAAAGATAATGCTTTTCCCCAGGCATGTTCTGTAGGCTTCTCTGTAGGAAAACATGTAGGATATCCTTCCTGAGAACATGGGGGGATACACTGAATATCCCAGCACTGTCTTTGGGGTTGAACTCGAGCTGGTATTATAGGGTCAAGCCCCCCACTTTGGGGTCAAGCCAAGAGAAGAAGCCACCTCATAAATCCATTGTGGAGACCACAGTGACCATGAGGAATTGGCTTTGTCCTTCCAGGAGGTTCCTCCAGCTGTTTTCCATCACAGTCTGGTTCTGAGTAGACCAAGGGAAACCTAGGATAAGGCTGTGCTCAGGCTCAACGATATCTTCAAATTGCCTATATTTTAAAACCCCTAAAAACTGTAATGGTTTAGTTAAGCTGGTGGCTTTATGGCCTGCTTCTCCTCACAGTCTAAGGCTTTCTCTTTAACGGAGAAGTCAGGTACCATTTTCCTTGCTTGGATGACTGGCTGTGTTAAGGCTCAGGGGTTCTGGGAGGGGGAAAAGGCAGAGCATGGACCTTGGTGGGAGCCTCACTCCCCTTGTGGCAGACGGCCTACGAATCTCCAGTCCTTTGGAGTACATGAAACAGGGCTCTGAGGAGTGAGTAGGCATTAATTTAGGAACTAGAAAGGGAAGGGTGAGTTTTCACATGGTGAAGCTTGCCTTGAATCCACCCACGAAAATGCTGTTTCAAAGAAAAGAAAATGTAGGTTATGACTTGAATGTTAAGAGAAAGGAAAAGCAGGCCCTCCTATAAGAAAGCAGTGTAACCACACCCTGATATAGCCCTGCCACTTATCTCTTTGAGTGACATCCTTCCTACTGCGCATGAATTCTGACCTTGAAGAGGCATTTGAATGTCCTTGAATAGACTTCTCAGCCTTCATCTCGAGGTGGTTTGACCTTTGCTGAGCGAAGCTGTTTTTCAGAGTCACCACCATCTGCTGACAGAAAGGGCTTGTTAGAACTGCAGAGGTTTCAATATCAATGTAAGTATCTTGATATTGTTTGAGAAATCCTTTATTTAGGCAAATATGGAAGCATTTGTCCAATGCAAAGATTCCCTTTAGAAAATTAATTGCTGATCACCTTTTTTTTTTTTTTAAGTGCAGCTAAAGCTGTAGGCTAAAGACTCAGATTACGTGTTCCTCTACTAACACTTCTTTCACTGATGTTGGCAATGTAATTTTCCTTATCCTTAACATGGGGTAACATACTAGTTCTCCCCTTCCAAGTTTGGTAGGATTTGATGAAGTCTTACATATAAGACACCTGGCACCATGCCTGGATCTTAATCACTCATTGTTACCTTACCATATTTTATTATTAATTTCACCGATCTCCTGTGGGATTTATACTTGAGGCCATACCCAGCAATTGGGTATTTGATCAGGAGTCAGATAAAGTGAGAAGCAGACCTATTTGCTACTCTGACTCCTCAGGGTTACGGAGAGGTGATCGGTGACCCAATTGTACGAAGTCTGGCTTATTTGGAATGCTGGTGTCTGTCTTTTTATTTCTCCTTTAACAGCTGCTTGCATTAGCCTTTTGGGAGTTGAGCAAAAGAGTTTTTCATTTTTAGGAAGCCACATGTTCTCGATCTTTAAATCAAAGGTGAAATGCAACGTGCCATGGCAGTAATCCAAAGTTTGGAGGCCACATGGACTTTCTGGCTTAAACTCATTTTCTATGAAGTCAAAATTCATCCTGAACTTTTGAAAGCACTGAAGACGATGAGCTGAGGCAACAGTGAACAGACATGAGAAGAAGGCCCCTGGTGGCCAAAATGAAGTTTCTCCCTCTCAGTTTTTAATGGCATGTGAAAGGCATTAATCCACACTTTCATTTCCTGTTAGCCAAATAGAAATGTCTGGAGATAATGTGAATACCTTATGGCATAAGTGACTTTCTAAAGTATCTTATTAGAACTCCTTATCTGTGTAAATGAGGAAGCACTGGGGCTTGACAGCGGAATACACCTCCTAAAAACTGACGATTGGGAGCTGCTCACAAAGAAGTTAGCCCAATACCTCTGGGGAAACTGCCAGGGGACAAGGCAGCTCTCGTCTTTTCTCAAGTACAGGCACTGTCTGACATGTCACGTGTAGGTCACTTCCTTCTGTGGCAGCTCTACCCAGAGGTGAAATCAGGTTTCCCAAATGCCTCTCAAGAACCATTAGGACAAATGATGCTGCCACAGGCGCAGGCTTGGATCTTCCTGCAGAGAGCAGAGAGAAGTGTCATTCAGGAAGGGTGTTGGATGTGCTTTTGAGAATGAGGCCCTAGGTTTCAGAAGCACATTGTTCCAAAAGGAGGTTTATAGATGATCGAGGCTGCTTGGCTGATATTTAATGTAGAAAAGCTACTGTGGATCAATGTTGGAGAAAACTCAAAACCAGTACCCTCACCGAAAAACATCCCAAACCCCTCAAAACAAAAACCAATGGTCTGAAGCCTCTGTCTCTTTAGAAAGGATGGTTTTACTTGAAAAAAAAGTCTGAGGATGTACAAGGCAGAGCTGGGGACATCATATTATCCAACTCCAATCTCCACCTTCCATTCTCCTTGCCTTGCTCCCCTTCCAGGGTCTATATCACCTTCATCCTTGCAGTAAGCTTCTTAGGATTCTATTCAGATTCATTTGACATGAAGAATCCTTTTCTTCATGTTCCCAGGAAGACTCTGCCAGAAGCCCACAGGGTCCAACATTGACATCAATGACATTGACATTGACATCATTTTCCTTTATCTTTACTTTTCCCCTTATAAGACTACGTCTCAGTATTGTCTGTTCAAATCAGCAAATACAACATTTCCTTTGAAAATGGGTTTGTTCATTCTATAAAGATTCACTGACCTCTGTTGTAAATATTGTATACTTCCATCATAAACTTTCTATTTTCAGATTTTTCTTGTATTTTTTTCTCTTTGTTTAGTCATCTGAGTTTTATGATTGAAGTGCTTTTTTTAATAAAATGCAAGTACATTTTTTTTAAATGTTGGCCATTTATCTTGCCATATAAATCAATTTTTCTACTCTTCTCCTCATCTGTGGTATTGCTTTCAGTTCCTCAAACATATTTCAGGTAAATGGTTAAATTGGTGTGGCCACAGTTAGGGACCCATCCGATGTCTGCTGCTGAGGCAGAAAAGATGAACACAGTTAATGGGTAAATGATAGGCCAATGCTGAGGTCAATATTTACCCCACTGTACAATAAATCTTGATAACTGGCTAACTACCAAAACAAGATGTCAATAATCAGTAGAGTATGCTTTATCCTTCCAGAATAACTTCATTAGCAGTGTATGGAAATTCAGGGGATAAAAATTGCAAACATTTTGTGGTATTCTTTTGGTCCTGAAAGGAAACTATTTCTATATCAAGGTAAAGATCTTGAAATCCGTGGTTTTCAAGATTTTATTTGAGAGCGCGCATGTGCATTCAGAGCAGTGTGGGGGGTGGAGGGTCAGAGGCAGAGGGAAAAACAGGCTCCCCACTGAGCAGGGAAGGGATGTGGGATTTAATCTTAGGACCCCAGGATCGTGACCTGAGTCAAAAGGCAGACCCTTAACTGACTGAGCCACCCAGGCACCCTGGAATCATTGGTTTTCAAACTTTAAAATGCATTGGAAGCATTGAGGCACTTTTGGATAAATACAGATGGCTACATTCCACCCCTGTTCTGAGCAAGTGGGAGTGGTCTTGTGCCCACATAGTGTTTCACAAAACACTAGGACAATCTGGTTGAGGAAAGCTAGGGAACATGCTTTGAGGAAAAATGGATTTAAATTCTACATTGGGCCTGGGAATTAGTAGTTATCATCCAACCAACATTTATTTAGAGACAACTAGGTCTAAAGCTATAGGTGTATATAGTCATTATGAAGTACTTGTACTTTTTCTCTGTTGCTGCTCTGTTCTACCTAGTTATATGGTAATTTTTGGTTCTTACATAGGAGATTGGATAAGGTTAAAAACAAGGCTTATTGATATAATTTATCAATGACAATCTGTGAAAGAATCTCTTAAAAAAGCAATTGCTCATACTTGGAGACACAGCATTTCTCCTAAATAAAAAAGGGGAAAAATAAATCATTACATTACTATTTCATAAACTTAATCAAGTAGCAAAATGTTGGCAAACTTTTGGGGAAAAGAGATCAAAATAGTAAACTAAAATCAGTAAATGTATAATTTTGAGATAGGAAACACATCAGTAAAAATACTTTTCAGTATGTATTTTTCAGTGCATTGTTTATTATAGACAATACAACTGTAAAATTTTACAATTCTGTATGTTCTGCTATAGGAAAAATAATGTAAATTTAAAACATAAAATAACTAGTTTCAGTATTTCCTGCCTGCATACCAACAGATCCTAAGTGTTCTATTCAGCAGTCCTCTTAGCCTTATTTCTTTAGCCTAGCTTTGTATATTTTGACTGTCTTTGATGTAAATTAAAGTACTTGTTTGGCACATAATTAAAGAATTAATAATTTTTTTAAAAGTGGGACAAGAACTTTTCTTCTTTAACCATGCCAGAAGCTACTCTTTCTCAAAGGATGATCTTTGGTAATTTTCAGATACATCTTTAGAGTATTTCTTAGGTTATCTTTCCTCCAAATGGAAGGGGAAAATGCACTCATGGATAAAC